GCCGGTGAGATTAGAACCGCTGAACTGCAGATAACAGTCAGCTGAAGTGGCCTGCAGTACTGCACCCTAACCACTGCGCCACCTCGGCTCTTTTTGTGATGTCCTCCACATGTGTGGAAGCGATGATTCCTACAACTTCAAATAATGCTTATACTTCAACAACTTTGGAAGCCATCATATCTATAGTTGGTTTATTTCAACTGTAGCTTACAAGCTGCAATAAAGTTTTCAGTGTATCTCCAGGATAGGTTGAACCAAAATTTTGTTTCCCAGGGAAGGGAAATGGGGGTTGTAAGAGAGAAAAAAAAAGTCATGCACAATCTTAAGGAATTCGTTCCATTTCTTGAAAACATCCAGAATCGGGCTAACTTTCCCCTGCTTTATAGGTCCTCCTTTCTGCTCCAAAAGTCAGGAAACATCTAGTTAGTGATGTCAATATTATGCAGTAAAACTGTTGAGTGTGTCATAAAGTTCTTTGTCATTATATTTCAGAAATATAGATAATTATAAGTCAGTATTCCTCGGTTGCAAGACAATTTGGTGCATGGTTTGGAGCTATTTCATGACTATTTTTCTCATTTTGGGTTTGGATTTCTTCCCTCACTCTACAGGCACCTCTATCCCCACAGAAATGTACTCATCACATAATTGTTCGAGGACTGGTACGCATTCGCTGTGTTCGGGAGACAGAAAGAATTCTTCACTTTATGACCAGGAAAGGTCTGATTAATACAGGAGTTTTGTCACTTAATCGAGACCAAGCCCTGCTTCCCAAAGACTACCACAATGTAGGTCTATTAAAATTTAGTATATCGTTAAATTGGTTATATGTCAGAATATTCTGAAAGCACAGAAAAATCCCCACAAAGATTTCCAAAGTAAAAAAAATATGTTTCTGGTATGTTCTTGGTTTAGGAAATCCTTGACTAAATGACCATAATTGAGCCCAACATAAATGAACTGTTATAAGTCGAGGGCTACCTGTATTCTTTAGTTGGCAATAGCTCGCTTCAGTGGAAATATTATCTCTATATTTTATGCAACTTGTATGAAGTCTTGTTAAGGTTGACTAGCTTTAGAGAAATAGTATTTGTAATTTGTAGTTCCTTCTTTCTTTCATTGCAGAGATCTGTCATTGTGGTTGGAGCTGGCCCAGCAGGATTAGCAGCTGCAAGACAACTTCAAAACTTTGGAATTAAAGTAAGACCTAATCATATAAATCAAGATACTGTAATACTGTTGTCTCCTGGCATAATTTTATTACATTCCAATTACTTGAATATGAACCTTTACAATCCAGAAAGTATTCTAGTGAATTATTCTACTGTAAAATTAGGAGCAGAGTTAGTATCTAGTTGGAGAGACTAAAGAATGACTTTGAAGTTGTTATGGTGTGGTTTCAATATGTAACATAGAGTTTAGCCAACATTGGGATATGACAGATTCAATTGTTTTCTTACACTTTCCTTCTTTAAGAAAAACTTCATATGAGTATGTCTCTGCTTAACACTTCAAGAGCCTATATTTAGCAATATCAATATCACTTAGACTTATATACTGCTTCACAATGCTTTATAGTCTTCTCTAGACAGTTTATGGAGTCAGCATATTGTCTCCAACAATCTGGGTCCTCAGTTTACCCACCTCGGGAAGGATGGAAGGCTGAGTCAAACCTTGAGCCTGTCAGAATCGAACTCCTGGCGGTTGGCAGAATTAGCCTGCAATACTGCATTCTAACCATTGCGCCACCACGGCTCACCTATTTAGTTCTCATCTCACTTTTTGTAATTAATATCAAAAGCTTGCTAAACAACCCATATGATTAGATAATATCGTCTATCCTCTTGATGACTCTGAGAAGTTATACTATCTGCTAAAAAAAACACCCCATCCAGAGTAAAATGTTTCTCACCACTTCCATTACCTTGTTTATATATTACAGGTCCTTGTGCTGGAAGCAAAGGATAGAATTGGTGGACGAGTCTGGGATGATAAGACTTTCAAGGGGCTCATTGTGGGAAAAGGAGCTCAGATTGTGAATGGCTGTATCAACAATCCTATAGCACTAATGTGTGAGCAAGTGGGTTGCACTTTTGAAGATGACACATTGCAGATAGCTTACTATGTATTGATCCCTGTAAATGTACACCTCTATTTTGGATACATTTTACAAGGGCTTTCATGTTCTACTTAAGGATTTGGTCTGAAGATGTTCTAATTGTAGGTTTATTGAGAAGCTTGGGAATGTTTCTTTAGTTTTATCACTTGGAAAAGAGCAAGGATTTGTCTAAAGCACAGGTGTCAAATATGATCGTGTCACGTGATGTATCATAATGGGTTGTGGGGTTTTTTTGCCTTTGCGGGGCTGGGGGTGTGTGGCCTATGCGTGACTCATCTGCCCCATAAGCCGCCAGTTTGACATCCAACTGGTCTGAAGGTTTGTATAAAGGAGTTAGGATATGAGGTGGTAAATACAATTCTTAAGAGCAAATAAATCATATTTTAAAATTTTAGATTTTGCTATTAAGCTACTGTTAACAATAGCGATAGCACTTATATACTGCTTCACAGTGCTTTACAGCCCTCCCTAAGTGGTTTACAGAGTCAGCATATTGCCCCCAGCAATCAGCGTCCTCGCTTTAACTGATCTTAGAAGGATGGAAAGCTGAGTCAAACTTGAGCCGGTCAGGATTGAACTCCTGGCAGTTTGCAGAATTAGCCTGCAATACTGCTGTCAAACCCCGATGGGGATTTGCCATATCTGGGGGAAGGGGACCTGCATTCTAACTACTGTGCTACCATGGCTCCTATGTATCCAAAATTTCTTCATGCATCATATATTTAAATTTATAATGGATTATGTCACTCTTGCAGTAAATAACAGATTGTTCTTTTTCTATGAATAACCCTTGTCATTTAGAATGCCTATCCTTCAAACACACGGAAGGCTTACAAATACTTTATGATGAATTAAATCAGTGGTTCCCAAACTTGGCAACTTTAAGACTTGTGGACTTCAACTCCCAGAGTTCTCCAGCCAGAAGAGCTAGCTGGAGAATTC